AATATCTGGATTTCTTAAAATAAAGACAGAAGGTTTACACATTATGAAATTTAAATTGCACTACATAATGTTTTATAAAACTGCAATATGTAAAAAATATACAAACAAAAGGTCAATTGGTCACAACACTCACTTGAGTAACTTTTGCCCTGCTGTTTAATAGCAGATTTTCCCCATTGTTGCAGTGAGGCTATTGTGGCCCCGAAGGAACACCCCAGGGATCATGACTTCAACAATTTCGAATGAACTCAACCCCAGGATTGCATCCACATAAGTGTTAGCTTTTCTGACTTTTTAGTAGCTTTGTTTAAAATTGGCCCAGAGATTTTTGAGAATGTGAAAAGTTTACTGATAGACGGGCAGCTAGACGGACCGACGACGGACAATAGATAACCAGAAAAGCTCGCTTTAGCTTTCAGCTCAGCTGTGCTTAAAATTACAATCTAAACAGCATTGTTTTAAAAACTGACACATTACAAAGACTTTTTGTACAGCATAAATGTGATTCTTTAAAATTGAATAATTACTATTTGATTTGTACAACATTAATGTGGTATTAAAGCATTAACTAAATACAAAGTCTTATTTGTACAGCATTAATGTGGTATTAAAGCATTGACTAATTACATACTCTTATTTGTGCTACATTAATGTGGTATTGTAAGAGTGACTGATTACTAAGTTTTATTCATGCTACATTCATTTGGTATTGTAAGAGTGAGTGATTACAAACTCTTATTCTTACATTTAAAGAATCACTCATGTCTGCTGGGTATGCCAGGGCATTAACGATGTTGGCATGCTACATTAGAAAAAGTCCATTATTGTAAGAGTATTACTTTATAATAAAGAATCACTACGCTTCAGATAATTAGAAAAACTACTACGTTAGTTTCCCTGATAATCCCTACTGACGTGACTTTTTAGAAATTTGGACGTGATTCCTTAGATGTACATTTATATGTAAAACAAAAGGTCCGGGGGCCTTTACGTTCACCTAAGTAAAAGGATATGGACATAACGAACAGTATTCAATCTCAAAGTCCATAAAACAATAACCATGCTATTAGTTTATTTACTTAATACACAGGAACGAAGAATAATATTAAAAAAAAAACTTGGAAAATTTTCAGTACATAACCAACAACCTTCCCCCCCCCTTTCACCAAAATCTCTGACGCAGGGGGCATGAAATTCACAACATTGGAAGAGGTACCCCTGCTGATCATGGGTATTTATTTATTTATTTAGTTACATAATAACAAGGAGCTGAGAAGATTTTTTAAAAAAATTTCTGACTTTATAATCAATTATGCCAAAACATAACACCAGAACCCCTGAGCAAGAGGCCACAGATTTCACAATCTTGGAAGATGAACCCTTACTCATCATAACTGAATATTTCGTAAAACTTGTATTTTTAGTAGAAAGCAGGAGAAAAAATGATTTTTTTAAAGAAATAATGCACTTCCACTATATAGAGCAATAATAATAGGGTACCCATTCCGCTAATTCTCTCTACATTGGTCCACAAAATTCAAATTTATAAAAGAGGCAATATCCGAGATTCACATCAAAGTTGGTACACAGATCCCGTTTTATTTTTTAAAGACAACTAATGGAACAATCGGATTTTTTTTCAAGAATCAAAAACATTTTAAATTGATTTTTCATTATGTTTTATGTAACAGTTAGAAAATTTGTTTGATAAGTATCTAAAAATTAATTCATTATTACATATTATATATGACTAACTGTATTTAACTATATTATTTACAACTATTTAAAAGAAAAACTGCAAGATAGAGAAATAATTGAATTTTATAGGTCGAAACTCATTTTTCTGACTTTAATATGAAATTTAGATGAACAGTCTTAATTATTTCATTTAAACACATAATGATTAAAGTAATACATGGCGGAATTTTGATAGGTTTACTCTTGATTTAGAATGTTTCTTCACATAAAGAGAGAAGTTCCATGTAAGTTTCACAATTTAAATCAGTCGCATTTCATAAATATCACAGATTAAAAACAATTACCGATTAATTTCAGAATTTAGTAGTAGAAAAGTTTAAATTTAAATTATCTAAAGAAACGTGGCTGTCAGTAGCACAGTTAACACTACTGTTAAAAAGACATTTTTGTGTGCAAATATGAAGTGTAAAACTTACACACGCATTGTCTGCCTTTAGGCATCTTTATTGCTTATTACCGCCACCTTTATTATAAACAACATTTATTTTTTAATAGAAAGAAAACATGATTGTTAATAATTTAATTCAATGATAGAAATATTGAAGAAGAAGAAGGAACTTAATGTAATTGTCTAAAATATGTTACTTGAATACGAAAGCAACAGAAAGTTTCTGTTTGTTTGACAAAAATAAAATATCAGATTTGTAATGAAATATCAGATCTGATTATAAATGTTCTCTAGTTCCTGTGTCTGATCATCATCATAGTCTGCTTTAGAGCTTCATCTCTCTTCCAATGATGCCATACCGGGTATTTAGCACCAGAATCACCAGATTGTCCGTACTGTCCGTTAAGGTTTGAGAAGTAACAGGCGTTGTACCACCAGCCTCCGCGCCAGGACGTAGCACAGCTACCACTTTCCCTGTCGTTATCCTGGTCCTTTGTTGAAAATTTCATTCCATTGTGAGGATCAGTCAAACTATCACCTGTATAACAGAGTACCACTGGGCCGATCAAAGTTTAACATAGGAATATATAGGAACAATCTTTAAATATCTTCTTCTCAAGAACCACTGAGCCAGGAAAGATGAAACTCATGTGGAATCATCTTCAGGTAGTGTAGATTCAACTTTATTAAAATCATGATCCCTTGGGGTAGAGTGGGGCTAAAATGGCCGAATAAAAATTTTACATAGGGATATATAGGAACATTTTTGAAAAATCTTCTCCTCAAAAACCAGGAAAGATGAAACTCATGTGGAATCATCCTCAGGTAGTGTAGATTCAAGTTTGTTCAAATCATGACCCCGGGGGTAGGGTGGGGCCAAAATAGCCAATCAAAGTTTTAGATAGGAATATTTAGGAAAAATCTTTAAAAATCTTCTTCTCAAGAACCACTGGGCCAGGAAAGATGAAACTCATGTGGAATCATCTTCAGGTAGTGTAGATTCAAGTTTGTTCAAATCATGACCCCCGGGGTAGGGTTGGGCCAATATGGTCAATAAAGGTTTTACAAAGGAAGATATAGGAAAAATCTTTATAAATCTTCTTCTTAAGAACCACTGGGCCAGGAAAGATGTTCAAATCATGACCCCCGGGGCAAGGGTGGGGCCAAATGGCCGATAAAAGTTTTAAATCCAAGGCAATATATAGGGAAACCTTTTTAAATCTTCTTTTCAAGTACTTCAAAGCCATGCTTAGTGATATTTATAGGGAATCATCCTCAGGTATTGTAGATTCTAGTTTGTTCAAATCATGACCCCCTGGGGGGTTAAAATTCAAGCCCCCTCCCCCTCCCCGCCCTCAGTTAACTTTCAGTTCGGATCTGATATGTGCTTTTTTCTAGTCAATTGCTCAGGTGAGCGTCGTGGCCCCTGGACCTCTTTTTGGTAAGTAAATCGATGGATATATACATACCTGCTGTTCCTGAATACAGTGCTGCTATCCTATAAGTTGACAATTCTATCCTATCCTATCGTGAATCCTGCTTCCACAATCCTATCCTGTGATTTCAGTCTAATCCTATCCTATCCTATCCTGCAACTCTCAGTTTTTTAATATTTAGGAATTAATTTGACAAAACGAAAAAAAAAGGGAATTACCAGAAAATAAAATCAGATATAGTTATGGTATTCATTTAAATGTTATATATTTTAATGGAGAAAAATAATCGAGATCGGCATTCCATAATTCCCGACTGACCGCACAAATTAAATTTACGATTATCATAACCATGTTAAAAAAAATAATGTTAACAAACAGATCGTAATTACACGTGGACAAATACTGATTTTGCAAACTTAACATTTGTAAAGAAATTGGCCTACCAGAAGAATTAAAGAAAAATATACTTAGTGTTTTAAATTTCTTACTAACAATGATCGTGAGACCCGGGATCGCGACTTGCGTCCGACGTGTAATATTTAATTATTTTTAAAAAGCATATGCCTATATGGTAATAATGTTTAAGTAACTATATGTTCCATGTAAAATTTTATTTTTTCCTAAACTGAGCACCATGAAAATAACATGCATGTACATGTATAGATCAAGTCTAACTGTGCCTGTGTAACAGGTTTTTCTGTATGCAGTTCTGAAAAAAAAGATATGACTAGACCATAAACCAAACAGACAAGTCAAATGTAGATCTAGAATATCTTGACTTTCACATATTAAACATTTTAAATGTGAAATTGTCTTATAATATCAATATTAATTGTAGATTTTTTTATTTAAATTCATAATTTATTCTTTTTTTTAAATTTCAGTTCATTATCTATTGTATGTGATATTTTTCAAACATGCAAAACATATAGTTGCTAAATTCAAGATAATCTAATTGTTAATTTTTTTCATTTCACTTCAGTTTTTGCTCAGTTTATGGTAAGCTCACCACCGTACAAATGTATTTCAATTTTCAATTTTTTTTTGTGTGTAAAAATTTAATAATTCATGTTTAATAGAATATATTTTCTAAATTTGATATTGGTTGACAGATTGACATTAATAAATATTGTAGTGAGGTCACACATGTTTCTAAGATCTTATAAAACATTCATGAGAAATTCAGAATTCACATTATTAACATGTATAACTCATTCTTGAGTAAAACAAGTTTATATTTGACCTTGGCATTTGATCTTGAATGTTAATCAGTGTCAGATTGAGAAATATTAAAATGCTCCATGCATGTTCCTTAAAGATCTTATAAAAGATGCATAAGAATTCACAGTACTTACAGCCTTTATAACACATTCTTGAGTAAGCTTTGTATTTGACCTTGACATTTGATCATAAAATTTTCAGTGTTTAAATGAGGAAAAATACTTTATCAAGTTCACAATATTTTTATTCAAGGTGATTCCTCAACAATGTTTAACAATTGAATATTCCATTACCATGAGACAGTCATTAAAAGTATCCATGTACAGCATATATGAATTTCAATGCAAAGATCACAGATACATATACATGAACTTTGTTTAAATTAAAGTTTATCAATGTTTTTATTACACTTGTATAATGTTTTACATGCATATAATTTGGCTGTCTTAACCGTCGCTCAAATTGAAATTCAAATGTCAGAGTTATTGTCAAAGAGATGGTCATAAACCGAACAGTTCTTCAAATGTCAACAATGCACAGAAAACACACTGATCTCCTTAATAAAAACACCATGATTTCAGACTTAGGACTCCGTGACACTGGTTTGAACATCTTTCATCATTTACTCTTACAGCATATGGCATGAACTGCATTCTGTACAGCTGCAAATGTGCAGGGATTCCTGAAAAAAAAACATAAAATGAAATTATAGGCATGTTGATTGTAAATTTTGTCATAACACATTTCATACACATTTAAAATGTTTAAAATGTTTTTGATTGTGACTATCTTTCACATTTCATGTACAATTGGTTTTAATTTCACCTTTTTCTCTCTCAAAAGTAATGCATTTAGAAATCATGAAAAATAAAATCTTATACTGCAACCTCAGTCATAAGAAAATAAATAAAAAAAAATCTTATTTAACATTTAATTTACTTCTACATTATAATTCATTTTATCTTGTCAACTTGCTTACAAGTATGAATACATTTGTTTTAGTGACTTTTCTTTATTTTCTGCTTGTATTTATCTATTTAATGTTTTTTCTTGGTTTTTTTTTTGGGTCTTGAAATTTGAATATGAAAATCTATGATACTCCAACATGATGACCAGAAAAATTCAACATTTCTTTCAGTTTTACTCTCAATATTTTTGAAAGAAGAAAATCACTTGTTCCGAGTAACTGCAGACATGTCACGTCAACTCAGATAATGATGTTTATGTATTTTAATGACCATGTGAAAATACATGATGAAAATAAAATCATACATACTTTTTAGGTTGAAATCCTCGTACTGCGATGACGCATGAGTGCAGACAATCCATTTACTGTAATGATAAAAATGAAAAGATTAACTTATGTTTCATAACTCACAATACATCATACATACATGTACAATATGTAAGTGCACTGCTGAGTGAGCTCATTAAACATTTAAGCAGAAGCATTAGAAATGGTCATGGTGATTCTACATTCATTTATTATTAATTACACAGAAATGAAAAAAAACAAACTATTTTCTGACCTTTATAGGAAAATGATGAGAGTAACAACCTGATTTAGGCATAATACATATGATTGTTTTAGTCTTAGAGCTTATTGATAGCTGATTGAATCATATGACACAGTATTTGAAAATATTACCTCCCCCCCCCCACCCGCTTCTGTCTACACTACTAAAATGTTTATAGTTTAAGACATAAGAACATTGTTTAAAGGGATAATATGTATAAAAGAGCACACATGTACATTGTACAGTGTGAAGTATGTACTTACATGATATCGCAAATCATCTATTCAAGTCCGCTGTTGACGGTTCCTGCGGAATTATCCAAACAAACAGAGCATATTTAACAGAAAAAACATGTTATTACACTTTTACACAAGTAAGAATCGGTTAAATCATCCAAACAAGCTGAAGAAATACGGTCTTTCGATGCCTGGACTCTTCGTTGTTTACATTCCCAATTCTTCGGTGGCAGAGGATAGTTTTTTTTGCAATCAAAACGTTTGACTGACGGTTTACCTAATATTGAGCTGCTTTAAAAATGTGCATTGAAAAATTTTAAATTCCCTCTACATGTAATAATAGTATGATGTAGTCCCTTGAGAAATTTGAAGCTTTTAGGAATAAAACATGTACAACTTACACAATGAGCTCTAAAGATGGCACAGGGACAATCTCAAAATTTCATGTGAATCAAGCCTATTTTCACTATTTCGCCGCAGCCGCATCTGCTTCCAGGCCCGTGCGCCTGACCTAAGCTACCACACAAATTGCAGAATAACATTTGTACATACCAATGAACAGCAAGAGATAATGGCTCAACCACCTTGTTTTCAAGCTACAATTCATCCTGTGAACCCACCCCGCTTTTCTGGTGAAATACCGGTAGAGCGAGTTTTGAGCTTAGTTTCGTATTTCTAGTCCATATCCCATGTACAAGTAGTAGTGACACTAAAGTGTCATATTTCAATAAAATATACAAGGCCACCAATTCCCTCCAAATGCACCCATAAAATATTCTAGCTATAAAATTACCTATAATATGCATTCAAACCTCAGGTTTCCCTATTTTTCTATTTTTTGACCGGTACTTAATTTGAAACTATCCTCTGCCACCTTTAACTTTCAAAGTTTGTCTTGCAAGTAATAAACCTTGCTCAATTCAAAAAGAACATGCAATTCTGAGTAAAAATATACCAAATATGTCTTGATTCATTGAAAAATAAAAAAGTTATGGCCAAATAAGAGACCTCACCAATTCTCGGTCAACCACCTTAACCCCATATTGTTTCTTACACATAAAACAAATGCAATTCTTACAACTCCAGATAATAAATATGCCAGCAAAAAAGTGTTAAATGGTAATTTTAATCTATTTCAAAATACATTTATATGTAAAAAGTCAAATATAAAGGGCACATCTTGGTGAAATGTACTCACATGTATCACATACTCCCCTACTTTTCATGTTCTATGAAATTCCATTTTATCTCTTGTTCACTTGGTTTTATATACCTATAACTTCTTTGCAAAGTTAAAACCCCTTTCAACTTTCAAGATATTTATCATGATATGCAGAAAACCCTCTTGAATCATATGCTAAAGAAAAAGTGTCCGGGAAATGGCTGTTCAACACCTTACCCCTGCAGCCATTTCTCTCTCTCTCTCTCTCTCTCTCTCAGTGTAATGAAAATGCACTGTAAAAATTTGTTTGTCTTAGCTGAATTCTTTCTAAGTGTCTGATATTCACTTTTAACAGTTATGAGTAATCAAATACATACATTTCATTCTCCTGAATACTAAAAGTGATTATTCTGTCCATCCTGGGCAATTGTGGGCAGATTATATGGGCCTGGCTGAATTCAATAATTACATGAGAATGCACATTTTATTGATATTACTTCATTAAACAAAAAGGGGGGGGGCATATTTCATGAAAATATTACTAACAGAATAGGTTAAATTTGGAAAAATAAAGCAAAAAAAGTTTTTTTGTACTAAATATGGTTAGGTTTAGTGACATTTAGGTATGCTGACTGATTTTTATTTTCAAAATAATTATATTTAGTAAATTAGGTTAAAAAAATGGCAAATATATGTAATTTCAGTGATATTGCACTAATTAATACACTTAAATTTTAATTAGATTTAATTGATTAAAGCAAGACATGATTTTAATTATGCGACAATACCCAAAGTATCAAATTCAAACAATTAATTTATTCTCTGGCAAAAAATGCCTGAATCTTATATGATTTATTATGCTGATGGTTCAATGTCTTTAAAAAAATATGCTGGAAAAGAGTAACCTCCCTTGCTTTTTAGTGAATATACCCAACTGTACAGATTTTAAATAACAGAAACAAAGTATTTTTTTAAATTGACATACATCAATAAACCCTTTTGAATAAAAATCAGACTAAAATTCACATTTCTAAAAATTGATGCATTCTTGAAGGTGGCAGAGGATAGTTTTTTTTGCAACCAAAACGTTTGACTGACGGTTTACCTAATATTGAGCTGCTTTAAAAATGTGCATTGAAAAATTTTAAATTCCCTCTACATGTAATAATAGTATGATGTAGTCCCTTGAGAAATTTGAAGCTTTTAGGAATAAAACATGTACAACTTACACAATGAGCCCTAAAGATGGCGCAGGGACAATCTCAAAATTTCATGTGAATCAAGCCTATTTTCACTATTTCGCCGCAGCCGCATCTGCTTCCAGGCCCGTGCGCCTGACCTAAGCTACCACACAAATTGCACAATAACATTTGTACATACCAATGAACAGCAAGAGATAATGGCTCAACCACCTCGTTTTCAAGCTACAATTCATCCTGTGAACCCACCCCGCTTTTCTGGTGAAATACAGGTAGAGCGAGTTTTGAGCTTAGTTTCGTATTTCTAGTCCATATCCCATGTACAGTAGTAGTGACACTAAAGTGTCATATTTCAATAAAACATACAAGGCCACCAATTCCCTCCAAATGCACCCTAAGAAATCTTCTAGCTATAAAATTACCTATAATATGCATTCAAACCTCAGGTTTCTCTATTTTCTTTTTTCTATTTTTTGACCGGTACTTTATACTCGAAACTCTCCTCTGCCACCTTCCGGTGATGAGTCACGGTTAGATCGTACGTCGTGTTACTCGAAGTTTATAATGTAAATATGTGTTTAGAGAAAAGAATGTTTTATTTTCTATTGAAAAATTTATAAATATTTCTTTTGTAAACATTTTATATCGTATTTCGTTTTTGTAATTTATTCTGAAATATGAATAAACATTTGCTAGAATCTGATTGGCTGTAGGATACAGGATAGGATAGGATAGGATAGGATTGGATTAACTTCTATATGTTTGTATCGTGAATCCTCAATCCTGAATCCTATCCGATCCTATCCCATGTCAACTTGTGGGATAGCAGCACTGTACCCCGACACGAGTTTGTATTTATTGTCTTCGTCTCGAAGATAAAATGTGGAGTACTGAGCGTATGCTTTTTCGCCATTAAATCTTTGTAGCTCAACCCGAAGTTCCTGGTCCTTGTTCTTTGTCAACTCATAAATTGCGTCATTTCCTTAAAAACGGGGAAAACAGGCACATAACGTTATGGTACCGAATTTTTGTGCTTTTTTGACATGTAGACAAAATTAATATTCTATTACTAAACAGACTATTTTTCCCTATCATTCAACTAAGCGCGTTGTAAAATTTCTGGTAATGTGAGATTGTTTACTGTTCAATTTTACTTGAAATGCATAGAGTAGTTTTATAAAACACCTTGGAGATAATCATAAAATAACGTATAAGCTGTATGACCATGTATATTAACCAACGGAAAAAAAACAATTTCACTCTAAGAATATTTTTCCTATTATTTTTCCTGTTATTAGCAGACCTTTTTTATATTCATAGGAAGCAGAAATTGTGCAAAACCTTATGCGTGAAAAGAAGAAAACACTTGCTGTGGCCTTCAACTCGACATTTATATATATCGACGACGTATTGTCAATTAATAATGGTTATTTCCACTTTTGTGTCAATACAATATATCCTGGTGATCTTGAGATAAAAGATACCACAAAGTCTGACACATCAGATTCATACTTGGGATATTTTACTTGAAAAAGACGTTAATGGAAATCAAACAACCATGCTCTATGATAAACGTGATGACTTTAACTTTTCCATCCTCAACTTTCCTTACTTAATCAGCAATATACCTTCATCATCTACATACGGAGTGTATATATCTCAGTTGATTCGATACGCAAGAGAATGCTCTACGCATGGATAATTTCTAAAACAAGGTAAATACTAGTTATTAACAAACAAGTTGATGAAACAAGAATTTAGCAGTCTTGTTCTAAAGTCATTGTTTCCTAAGTTCTTTGATCAATGGCCTTGTCAGCAAATACAATTTATCATTGAGTTAACATGTTTAAAGAAAAGAAGTGTGGACGACAAATATTATATTTTTTGTTACATGTTAGACTGCATTAACAGTAGAGGTTTAGATGTCCCATACGTACCTAACCAGTAGTTTTTAGAGGCATTCCCAAACCCCTCTTTATATTCGTTCCATGTTCGGTAAAAATCCAAGTCGCCGTCTTGTCTTTTCTGAAAAGTCTGTAAACAGCATTCATTTATTTACTTAATTGGTACTTGTCATAAAAATAAAAAAGAAATAAATTGATCATTACATTTTTCTATCCTATTAATTTGCTGCGGTGTGGAGGAATATCTGGTTTTCGCTATTCTTTGGTTATCTAGAGTCACTGGGTGATAAGAATAAGTATCTTTGATTTGTTTTGGACAAACTAATTATAAATTAGCAATTTGTCACATTGTTGTTTTGTTCAGCTAACTGAAGTGGATTGAGTTCATTTGGCAGAAAATGAAAATATGCAGACGTTTATTTTAACAAGCTCAATGATCAGGATCTTGAAGATTCAGTATTTATTTATTGTTTTTATGTTCATTTTCATATTCTAGTCATCACCAATAAAAGAACATTTCATTCAAAACGCTACACACCGTCCATCCTCCTCCATCTGTACGTCAGGTTAGAGTAAACAGACCTTACTAGGTGTTGTCGATGTACAACATTGATAATAAAACACACTACTCACCGTCCATCTTCCTCCATCTTTCTACATGTCACAGAAGACCTCTCTCCAGGTGTTGCCAGTGTATAACTGACAATAAAAGACACTCACCAAGTGTCCACCCCCTCCATCTGTCTTCATATCACAGTAGACATATCTCCAGGTGTTGTCGATGAATAACATTGAGAATAAAACACATTACTCACCGTCCACCCTCCTCCACCTGTCGTCATGTCACAGAAGACCTCTCTCCATGTGTCAGCGTAAATAACATACACTCCATCTTGTTCAATCTTGTCTGGGTCTCTTTTCACAATGTCTAAACAATCTTTATATATTTTTTTTTATTAAAAAAGAAAAAAAAAAAATGTATTATTAATTTCATTAAAATTCCTTTTTGTTAACATCTTTCAAACGTATAATTCAATGGAGAAAAAAATATAATCATAAGTCCTGGTAAAATAAAATTTTAAAAAAAATTAATTGGAGATCTATGATTAAGGTTAGTTTTTGTTGAAAATAAAATTAACATTATTTGGAAATGCAAAGCCAGAAATTCATTATCAAAAGCTATAAAGAAAACAAGTATTTTGTAAAGTCATAATGATTTTCTTTGTTACACACATAGATATACATCAACCAGTGTTAAAATTCGTATGGAATTCAAGTGATTGGATTTAAAAGAATACAGTGGTTGCCCATGTCAAAGGTTACAGAATAAAAATAACTAATTTTTGTAAAATATTAGGTTTTTTAAAGTACATATATTCTGTGTCAAATATTTTAAAGCTAAAATGAAGGTAATTTGTTTTTAAACCTTGTAACAAAGTGATGAATTAATTGTTTTCATTGTTAAGCACTTCATTTATTGTACTAGTTTGTGAATGATTAATACCGATATAAATTTAAACCGGATAATGAAACAAATTTTAAAAAATTATTGTATTCAGAATATACCAAATTCCCTTTATTAACAGAGTATTTAATTACTTAAAAGTTTTTTTCACTGTATAACCAACTACATGTAAATAAATTTTCATTGTCCTTGAACTAGCTTTTTTATTTATGTGAGAGAAAAAAAATTATTCAAAAGTAAAATGTAAAATATGTATTAGGTAAATAAAGATTGCATTCTTTAAACAAATAAACGCACTATTACTTAGCCTTAATTTTTGAAGAGAAGAAAATAAACATAACATTATTAATTTTTTTAATGGAGCAAGAGTTTTTTATTTTAATGAAAAGGAAAAGATAATGATCTTGACATGTCAATTTATATTTATCTCCTTATATTAATTAACATCCAATTAATATACATGTTTGATAAAGGAACCCCCTTTGGGAAAAAAGCCATTGGCTTTCATGGGTTTTCCTTGGTAAAAAAAACAGGAATATTTTTTTTGTTTTTTGTTGATTGAATTTTATTAATTTAAATTTTTTAATGCCCCTTTTTAAAAATTTTTA